GGTGATGGTAGAAAGATGTGGAGTAATTTATTTAAATGTTTTTGTGTGTTGGTGTGCATGCAAGTTGAGTGGGAAGATTCAAACAAGCCAAAAAATTAGAAGCCAAATAGACACACAGGCAGACACGCAGGCAGACACACAGGCAGACGGGTGGAGACAGAGAAGGGATGAGTGACAGACAAGATCAGGCAGATGGGAGGATGGTAAGGTGGAGGAGAGAGAGAAGTCAATTGGAGAGACAGACGGGTGGGGGGTGAGCAAGAAGAAAGACATGGCAGTCAGTCAGCACACACAGTTAAGCAGGTCGTTCTGTGTTGTGTCCTCAGAGAGACATTCACACAGTTGTTATATACCTGGAAAGGGGAGATGTTTAAATGCCATTTTGTATTGCTCTCTCTCCCTCTCTCTCTCCCCCTCGCCCGCTACACCCCTCAACACAGAGTACTTATCTACAAAAACAAAACAAAAAAGGCAATATGAGAGCTTTGAGCCACAGTGACACAGATCATTATATAGAGTTAGAATGAGTAGGCTGGCAATTCCCATCCAAATCACAAGGATTCAAAAATAAGAGGTCATCTGTTTTAGGTGTACCAAAGAAGATGATACACAAGGAAGTGCCTGCTCTTCTCATGCTAAATCTATGGATTATGTGAAATATCAGACATGGTCAAAACCACAGATGTTACCATTATGGAAGAGTTCTGACAATGGCAGTTATTTTTATTTTTCGATATTGTAGCATTGTACTGTAGTTTCTTAGTTTGAAACTTTTGGAGATGCAGTTAATTTCAGTGACAGAACTCTTTCATACAAACCTCAGGTAGAACATATATAGGCCAAAAAAGGGTAAAGCAATACAGCCGCCCTGTTATGAATGAAATGGGCCTCAGACACTCAGACTTGTTTGTCAAAAGAATCAAGTTGTCAAAATTTTGACTAGCTTCCAAAGCAGTGTTGAGGGCACCTTGATCCATTTTCCTTAGATGTACAATACTATTATTACAAGCATACCCAGGCACCAACCCAATATGAGTTCAGATGCTTTTGAGCACAATAAAAGCAATACAGATGAAGAGGAACAATTTCCCAAATATTGGCAAAATACATTTTTATGTGTTAGCAAATGGAATATATTCCGGATATATGAACTGCGGTGCACTATAGTCGTCATTCATTTGACTAACATGTGAAATATCAAAGACCCCAGGATAGCAGGGATGGCTTGCAGGTTCACTGTTAATACACAGTTACACAACCCCTCTTTATTATGTGTGCATATCCTTGTCAAAATGTGCTCAAACATTATACTTTTCTCATCATTGGTGACCCACATTAGTCAACTCTGTGGAAATGTGTGTTTCTGTGTTTTAGAGCATATAAGCCCGGGAGAAAAAAAACTCATAAGCAAACTGTTGACATCGAGAAGCAGGCTCATAGAAAACAATGTCAGCCATTCCACAACACACAACACAGAACAATAGCACAAACACAAACACTGACATGTAGCCCACAGCTAAGAGCAGTTACCACAGCATTACAGCATACACTATGAATGTAAAGGCATGTACAGACGGTGTGTGATTATGTATGTTTTAGTATGTATAAGAAACACAGAGACACAAACATAGCTTAGTTGTATTAGAGTTTGAATAGTGGCTTGTGGGTTTTCATGTATGCAGGAAGCATGTGTGTACGTGTTTGGGAGCTGGGGATGGGGTTTTGGCCAAGCAACCTGAAGGATGAATGTAGTCATGGTCTGTGCCAGTATTAATGGTTTTAAATGAATCACACCCATCTTAAGTTGTGTACGTGTAATTGAGAGTTAGATAACCTGATTCTTGAACGCTGCAGGTGAGAGAGGGAACGCACATGAACTGAAAATCACTGGGCTTATGAAGCATGTTTAAAACAAACTGAACAAATGTATATATAGCATTAATGGGGTTCATGATATGATATGATTATATCTAACACAAAGTTTGAGCATTCGTTATATTGACACAAGCCTGACATGACGGGA